GAGGGAAAGTTCATATTTTACACGGCTCTCATGAGAGAGCTTGAAATTCATGAGATTGGCACTTGTTGGGATCGAACAAAATTCTTAAGAGACACTTTATTTAATATGTTGGGTGCAGGAAAAGAGACCACGAGCAGTGCTCTCTGTTGGTTCTTTTATATGCTTGCGGAAAACCCAAGCGTGGAAGATAAGATTCTGGAAGAGATTCACAAACATTTGGAGGTAAAAGTGGGTGAGAGATGGAAAGCAGAAGAGTTAAATGACATGGTTTACCTTCAAGGAGCATTATGTGAATCTTTAAGGCTTTTTCCTCCTGTTCCATTTAACCACAAATCTCCATTACAACCAGACATCCTTCCAAGTGGCCACAAAGTGGATCAAAACACCAAAATCATTCTTTGTATGTATTCCATGGGAAGGATGAAATCAGTATGGGGTGAGGACTGTATGGAGTTTAAGCCCGAAAGGTGGATTACGAAGAGTGGAGGAATCAAACATGAGGCAACTTACAAATTCGCAACATTTAATGCTGGTCCAAGAACATGTGTGGGTAAGAACATGGCTTTATCTCAGATGAAGATAGTGGCTACTGCGCTCATTTACCATTATCATATTGAGGTGGTAGAAGGTCATCGCGTACTTCCAGCGGGTTCTATGGTGCTTCAGATGAAGCATGGTCTCAAGGTGAGTTTAATTAAAAGAAGTCAAAACATGAACTAAGATTTGAGTTTCGGTGTTTCATTTAATAAAATCACCATGAACATGAAAGCATGCATGCATGCATGTTGAAATAAGTATGGAAGTAATATGAGGTGATATTGTAATTGCATGTTTCGTTGCTTTTTCATTAATAAATTGTTATTTGTTTGGTGTGTAAAATATTAAATTGTCAAAAATTGTTGAAATTACCACTTTATCCTTATCGTTTATATTTCAAAAAAATTTTCTTTAACATTTAACAAGCAATAGTATTCCTATTAGTTATGGTAACAATGGTTGTTCTTTCACCATTGCTTACCACTTCAACCGAAAGCACCACTACCTCCAAATTGACATTGTTAACATAAGGTAAGGTGCTCTATGATTAGTTTGAGTTTGGCTCCAAAGGTTAAAAGTGTCTGGAGGTCTCAGGTTCAAATCCAAGAAGAAACAAAAATCCCCTTGTGGTCACGAAGGTTCAAAATGTTGTAATTCCGGGCTACCTGCAAAACAAGTGGTCGTACTGGGATTAGTCGGATCGCATAGCGGGTTGGATACCCAGGTTAATAAAAAAACATAAGTAATAGATACCATCATCGTCATTATCACACCAACAAATTTATGCAAATATGTATCCAAAACAAAAAGTGCAGATCTCATATTATCTAGATCGAAACCCCTCAATCAAAATGAATCGAGTATCCAAAATCAAAAAAACCCAAACCTGATCGATATAAGTAACCATATTAAAAAAAAACCCTAAATCGATCTATACAAGTATCAAAATCAAAAATTTAACCCTAAATAAAAACCGTAAATTGATCAAGAAAAAGCTTACTTAATGACCAAAATTTTAGTGACTATTTAGATTTTAGTATGACGTTAGAGACGATTATAAAGGTCTTCAATTAATGTTGGTTACTAATATGAATTTTAGTGACCAAAATTAAATGTGGTCACTAATTCTCAAGATTTTTTTATCACTTTGGGTTTCACAAAAAGTAGTGATTATTAGATTGAAGGGATTAATGACTAAAAAATGGTATTCACTTAAATTGAATATGTTAATGATCAAAAATAATAGTCACTAAGTGGTATTCATTTGTTATAGAATTGTAGCGAGATGGAAAAATGATCACTAAATTGAAAGTGTTACTGACCAACAAAAGGTAGTCACGAAAAGTGATATTCATTAATCGTAGAGTTGGAAGAGTTAGTGATCAAAATGGTGCTCACTAAATTGAACGCGACAAAAAACTAGTGGTCACTAAACACAATTCATTAGTTGTAGGATTGTCTAGAGTTGGATAGGTTAGTGATAAAAAAAAAGGTGGTTATTAATTAAATATGTTAGTGACCAAAAAATAATGGTCACTAAATAATATATATATATATATATATATATATATATATATATATATATTATAAAGGAGAAACCATGTGGTTTTTCTCTTAAAAGTTAAAAACTCAATTATCTTTTTTCTCTTTCATCCTCTTTTAACCATTTTTTGTTTTAATTTTCCACTTTAATTTCCCATCAACATTAATTATTAATTTATGTTTGTAATTAACGTCGTTCCCTTCGTCCCTTAACTCCTCACCATCTCCCAATCGTTTCATTTTTCTTGAGCTTATGGTTTTCTCCATATATCTAATCGAATTCTTTTACAACCTTCATGTTTTATTGAGTTTGTATGTATTATGTCGTTTCACTTTTGTATAATTTTCTTCTGACTTATATGTACCGCTGTTCATCCAACATAAATTTTGTAGATAACATCATCGTGAATTTGTAAAACTTTTTAGTTTTCAATTCTAAATTTTTTTCATTCAAAAGGATGTCGATGATAATTGTGCACGGGATTATAAGTTGATGGCTATTCCAATAAAATAATAGTATGCAATGTAAAAGTTTCCAATAAGGGTATAATTTAATGTACGTTCTCTTAGTTATTTTGAGGTTAAAATATTTATTTATTTTCTAATATTTAAAAACCTCTGAGGTAGCTCAATTGCACCTCAGAGTTCGTTTTTTAAGATGTGTTTAGTACAAGTGACGTAATACAATGGAACATAATGTGGATTATGATTTTACGGTTGACAGAATTTTTATATGAAGTAGAGCAAAGTGGAACAGACGTGTTTTATCTCATGGAATAAGGTGAAACAAAAAATATTTTACCAATATAACCTCAAAATAAAACTCAATTTGTTTTTATGTTTTTTGAACTTGCTTTTAGTGTCTTTTAAATATTATTTTTATACGATTTCTATATTTTGGTTAATTTATGTAATTTGTTAAAAATTAATAATAAAAAAAATCAGATAGAAAAGGTATAAAATAAAAATTGAGAACTATATAAACTTTTTATTTTTATGTCATTTTAATCGTCTTGTTCAAAACTTTCTATTAGTATATTTTGTTATAAAAAAATTATTTTATTTTTATTTAATAAATTATATAAATTAACCAAAATGTATAAAAATATATACAACTCATTAATTAGGTATAAACTGGTCATTTTATTTGTTTTGTCATTATCAATTCTATCCTACCAGCCCAAGGACCGTGCAGTGATTTATCAAGCACAATCCCCTTTAACCAGATGAGAATAATAAGATGCAACTTTGGTACAAAATAACTAATAAACATGCAATATATGCATTGTTGTCAAAGAGCTAATCACTAATTCGCTAAAATATTCAGATCATCCTCATTTACTCCCTATATCTATATAAACCTCCTTCTGGGGTGCCTCATCCGTCCAGTCACGTTTGTCGTTTACCAAAGGCTCTCAATGGTCTCAAAGAGGCACCTAGAGTCTGGTTTGAAAAATTCAGCACAACTATCCAATCCTTGAGTTTTATCGCCACGGCAAATGCAACAAATAAACTCACACCCCCTCCTCACCTATGGTGAGGTTTGAACCCTGACCTCCTAAAAGGCCAAGGGCTACGATACCGCTAGGCCAAAGACCCTTTATTGACTATTTTGACTATAAAAATGTTATTGTGGCCTGTATACACTAAATAATAATGTGGGTGGAGGTCCATGAGTGGATCTAATGGGTCCTTTCGGGATGAAGAGAGGTTAAACTAAATGATATATCTTTTACTCCATGCTTATATATTGGTCGAGTACTGCTCCTATATGTCCTTAACTTATGGTTCTTGGAAACGAAGTTGTTGTTTATGGAAGTAATCATTTATAGCTGATGTGCTTTTCAGTTCATACATTTGTTATTTACTTGACTTGTAAATCTTTAAAACTGTAAACTGTGCAAGGAAAATGCATACTACTTACCAGGGATGCTGGAATTTATCAACAACACGTGTCTTGATAGGTTAAATACCAGTGCATGGGTACTTCCTCTATGTTTCTGTAATTTTGCTTCTAAAATTCTTGAGTCAATTCCTAGATATTATCCTATTATTCATCCCATCGCTCACAAGTTATGTGAAACTATTATTGGTCTTTACAGTATATGTAATGTGTATCGAGAATAGTAAATCTTTTTAGTTTCTTTCTTGGGTTCTATCTTTGTATTCCTTCAATCATTTGAAGATCTTTTGGATCGACTAATACAATTTTGGGTTTCTGTTAGAAATAGAAGCATAGTCTTCGATAACATTTCATTGTTTCCTGTTAGTAATTATAAATTTGGCGATCATTGAAGCATATGTTTGTATAAGCTCTACAGGATATATGTATCCTCCAAAAGCTTGTGTTGCATATTATAAAGCTTGGTTGGTATATGGTATTCACGTATTTTGTTCAATTTTTTATTTAATATTAAATCGGTACATCAATATATCTCATTTAATATTTATAGGAAATTGTACGAACCTTTATTTAAAAAATCCCTCGAAGGTGGAATTTGGCTAAAAACATGTTAAACGGCTTTGTGCACCTTTGATCAATCTTTATAGAGATGTACTTACTCGGCAAAAGTTCTAATTAGTCCGCTGCTAGGGGTATGAATATGGGCCGTTCAACGCACTATTAATTTTAGAGACAAGAAGTAAGATTTGAATTTTGCAGCCTTTAATGTAATCAAAGCCATGTATCAATAATAAAAGCGAGCCCTTTAAATATCAAGAAAGTAATTGTGTTGTATGTATAGGTTCTGAATAGGAAGACACAAAATCCTTGAGGCAAATTAATGCTTGCTACAAGCTATAATTGTTAGTAAACAACTAAAATTCTTCAGATCGTCATTTTCTGCATCCTACAACATTGCACGAGTAAAGAACTAGTTAATATCCACGGTGGACTCGTTTTCATTGTTCGACTTGGTATACAAAGAGTCTTGAGGGTGTGCATAGTCACGCTAAAGAGATATTCACTAACCATAATGTGATACGAAGATATGAATTGTTTTTATATATGCCCACGTTGTCAACCGAACCAATAATTGCATCAAGGATGTCTCTTTTTTGCAATAGTTTAAGGTTTCATTCTTGAGGATTTAATTGGCCATAATTCTATTTTTTTTATTTATTCAGTAAAAACATTTTTATTATTGCACCTGAAACAAGTGACGGTAATAAGTAACAAACCACTTTAGACTATTAATTTGAAGGTTCATCTGATCTTCCTCACGTAGCCTTAGCATCCATGTTTGACCGATATGGATCCATTTGCATCGCTCACCTTGATGTATGAAGAGTTTGTTTGTTCAATTTTCCACAATTTATTTCATAGTGGTACTGACACGATGAGAACCAAGAACCAAGAACCAAATTAAGGAGGAATTATATAATTGTGTGGTAAAACATTTTGATGGCGGTTATTGGTCCCGTAATGACCAAAGATATGACTGATTTCAATGTCATCAATCCCAATCCTTAAATCGTAATGGCTAAAACATAAATATGAAAGGTTTCAAGTCAAAAAGTAAGCAATATGACCAAATTGTAACCTTCCTAGTAATAAATGATAAGTTATACTATATGAAATTATTAACGTATATTGATTGCAATGAGATTTTTTTTACTTGTAAACTAAAAGGTATTAAATT